TGCCATTTTCCTTCCCTTACTGGTATATAGATCTCCCTCCTCCACTTCCCAACCCGGTATCTCTAGTCTCTGCAATCCGAATTTATTACAAAAATCTTCCATATCTTCCGGAAATCTTAAAGTTGCCGAGATTCCATCTCTCCAACCGATCAAACTCGCTGCTTGTCCCCATCTATATTTCACATTGTGTCTTTTCATCTCTTCTAAGAATGGTTTCAATGTTTTCTTTCTTCTCAAAGTCTCTGCTGTTAAGTCCGCAAAAATTTGGATATTTTTCTCCCCATATGGAATACTTGTACTTCCTTTAATCTTTTTCCATATCTCCTCTTTATCTCCATAGTTGTGGAATTTGACTATTATATCTCTTGGTTTTTCCAGTCTTTTTTCTTGTTGGTACTTCCCAATCCTATGCACTCCATCTAGTTTAAACGTCACCACCTCAGCTTTATCCACTATGGAGTTCAAAATTTTGCCTATTAACTCTTTTAAGTCCTCTCCCTGGGTCAACTCTGGGACTCCTCTGACTCTTAAATTATTTTTCCTGTCTCTATTTTCTTGTTCATCCATCATAAAAAAAAAGTCTTTTTTGTTCTTTTCTATTATCCATCTCTCTAATTTTGAGATAGCTTGAGCATGACCCTGAACTTTTTCCTCAGTTTCCTCCATCCTAGTTAGCAGTTGTTCCAAATCCTCCCGAATTATCCCCATCTCTTGCTTTATTGATAATTCCAAGTTTTTAAACATCTCCGTCATTTCCTTTTTATTTGGTATTTGCAGATCCCTTTCAGATTCTCTCTCGGCCCTATACCATCCAGTGGTTGTTGACTATTGTATACCGGTCCTAGGGAAAGTCTCGGACTATTATCCAAACTTACTTCCAATTCACTTATTTCACTCACTCCTTGAGATCTTTCTGGGGTCAAATTTCCTTGGGGTATAAACTTCTTAATCGAACCAGTTTGAGGGTTCTTGGACCCACTTCCTTTTGTGTTTTTACCTTTCATGTCTTCAACTCCTCCAAACCTTCAGACCCTCCCAGGGAAACCCCAATTTCCTTCTCTCAATTTAGAATATACAATATCCTAGTGCAAACACAATGAATGAAAGCGTTGCTTAAATCTGGTATACAGAAAAGGAAAGTCCAATACGTAAGTCCAGGATATAGAGAGCATATGGAGAGCATATGGAGAGTATATAGGGAGTATATAACAACCCCTGCAATACACACGTTATTATCACTCACCCTCCACGCTGAAGTACCTTTCGGGATACAGTCCTCTCCTTTAGTTGTCTATCCTTGGGGGATTCCTTAGGGTCTCTTTAAGTCCTTTTCCTTCTTTCTTTATTTTTCTGGGTTGGAGGAAGTATGGAAGGTCTGGAAGTTTAAGGGACGGAGATACTAGGGTAGAATGTGGCACCGTTCCATCCTACATCTCATGTTGCTCTCTCATCTCCCTTGGACTGCTGACGCCGAAATGCCGGCTGTTTCTTCTGCTCCCAGAGCTCCTCCGCGGCTGCCCACGTGTGTTAGGCTCTACACCGCTACACTCGTCTCCCGGGCAACCCCAGTCCTGCTCCGGAGCTACCGCGAGAGACGCCAAGCGCGAGAGGGACTCAACTGTCTCCCCTCTGAACCTGCCACCACGACACGCCGTCTCCGAGTCCTCTCCTCTGCCGGGTATGCCTCCAGTGCTCTCTACTCCAGCTAGTTAGGTAGCCGGGACCTTACTGGGGAGATGAACGGGGAAGGGAGCGAGGAGTGCTTACTCCACGCTCTCCCGAGGTGCCATGTTCAGGCTCCACCCCCCCCCTCCAAAGGTATGTTCTACCTCCTCCATGCCACAGCATTTCAATCGGGTTGAGGTCAGGACTCTGACTGGGCCACTCCAGAAGGCGTATTCTGTGCTCTTGCAGCCATTGTTTTGTTGAATTACTTGTATGCTTTGGGTCATTGTCCTGTTGCATCACCCATCCTCTGCGGAGCTTCAGTTGGCAGACAGATGGTCGTACGTTTTCCTGCAAAATGTCTTGATAAACTCTGGAATTCATTTTCCCATCAATGACAACAATCTGTCCAGGCCCTGAGGCAGCAAAGCAGCCCCAAACCATGATGCTCCCTCCGCCATGTTTTACAGTGGGGATGAGGTTTTGATGTTGGTGTGCTGTGCCTTTTTTTCTCCACACATAGTGTTGTGTGTTCTTCCCAAACAACTCAATCTTGGTTTCATCTGTCCACAGTATATTTTGCCAGTAGTGCTGTGGAACATCCAGGTGCTCTTTTGCAAACTTCAAACGTGCTGCAATATTCTTTTTGGACAGCAATGGCTTCCTCCGTGGTGTCCTCCCATGTACTCCATTCTTGTTTAATGTTTTCCTTATTGTAGATGTGTCAACAAAAATGTTAGCATGTGCCAGAGATTTCTGTAGGTCTTTAGCTGACACTCTGGGATTCTTCTTTACCTCTTGCAGCATTCTGCGCTGTGCTCTTGCAGTCATTTTTACAGGACAACCACGCCTAGGGAGAGTAGCAACAGTGCTAAACTTTCTCCATTTGTAGACAGTCTGTCTTACCGTGGACACATGAACACCAAGGCTTTTGGAGATACTTTTGTAACCCTTTCCAGCTTCATGCAAGTCAACAATTCTTGATCGTAGGTCTCCTTAGAGCTCTTTTCTGCGAGGCATGGTTCACATCAGACAGTGCTTCTTGAAACCAGTAAACCCAAAACAGGTGTGTGTTTTTTTAAGGGCAGGACAGCTGTCAGCAACACACATCCAATATCATCACACTGATTGGAGTCAAGGCTGGCTCACTCCTGGCTCCAATTAGCTCTGGGAGAAGTCATTAAGCTAGGGCCTCACATACTTTTTCCTCCCTGCACTGCGAATGTTTACATGTTATGTGCAATTAAACCATGGAAACATCTAATGTTTGTGTAGTATTATGTTCAGCAGACTGTGTTCTTCTATTGTTGTGACTTAGATGACGATCAGAGCACATTTTATGCCCAATTCATGCAAAACTCCACATAATCCCAAGGGGTTCACATACTTTTTCTTGCAACTGTACCATTTTATTTAGTGAGAGATGCTTTGATTGGCATTCAGAGTGCTTTGAAAAACCTGATCAAATCCCACATTTTGAGGAAAATGTAAATTAGGCCTCAATGCAGGGAGTGCATTAACCCCCCTTCCTGACCAGGCCATTTTTTGCTCTATGGCACTGCGTTACCTTACCAACAATTGCACTTTACCAACATGCAATGCTGTACATAAATTCAATTTATGTAATTTTATTTTTTTCCCCCACAAATAGAACTTTCCTTTTTTGGCATTTGTTCACTACTGTTTTTTTTGTGCTAGTAACAAAAAAAAATGTAAATTTAAAAAAAAACCTATATTTTTTACTTTCTGCTATAAAACATATCCAATAAAAAATTCAAAAAATGTCTTCATAAATTTAGGCCAATATATATTCTGCTACATACTTTTGGTAAAAAGAAATCCCAATAAGCGCATATTGATTGCTTTGTGCAAAAGTTTTAGCATCTACAAACTATGGTAGATAAACTGGAATTTTTGTTTGTTTTTATTTTTTTTTACACTAGTAATGATGGCAATCAGCAAATTATAGCTAGACTGTGATATTGCGGAAGGCAATCTGGCATTAATGACACTTTGTGGGAATCGGTGGCACTGATACAGAGGTCACTGCTAAAAATATACACTGTCACTGTACTAATGACACTAGCTAGGAAGAGAAACATCTATGGCGATCAAAGACTTAACTGTGTGCCTAACCAGTGTGTGTTTATAAGTGTGCTATGAGTATGTGGTGTTTTTACTAGGGGTTGTGCTAGATTTTATTCCCTGCTGTACAGTGAAACAAAACCCATCACATTGCTGCTGACAGGACACAGCTCTGCCACACTTTTCAGATATTTATTTGTAAAAAAGTTTGAAAACCATTTATCATTTTTCTTCCACTTCACAATTATATGCCACTTTGTGTTGGTCTATCACATAAAATCCCATGAATACTTTTCCAAAGCACTGTATACAGCGGCCGCCCTGTAGCAGTAAAGCTGCGTTCCGGTCACATTGAAGGGATCAGCAGGAGATTGTCTGATTACTTGTTGAACGCTGGTTGGCCCTTGAGGTCATTGCAAGGAGGTGAGGGGGCACTCAGACTGGTTTGGGATTTCTGTGGCATGTATGACACATCCACGTGTATGAAGAGTTCCTCACCTGTGTGCTCAAATTGGACTGTTACATCACCCCTTAGTCACTTATTAAGTGTGTGTCGATTGTGCACCTTGACACCAGTGATAGATATATGTCATTCTATGCTGACACCAAGGGGGTTGATTCACCCATGCTGTTTTGATTATTTTATTCCTTTGCATGCATTGTCTGAGTGGATTTAATGCTGGTTCATTATTAGCAGCGCTGCACCATTTATTATATTTTTAACTGTGTTTTGTTTTTCACTGGAGTTCTGCTTTAACTTTCCAGCACCTACCAAAAATCTCAAAACCCTTAAAAACCATTCAGTAGATGTGTTTTGGCATAGCTAAACCAACCAGCTCATTTGTTTTTTTTATTTCATTTTTATTTGTTACTATGTGTACAGCTTACACAATATTGTCTCTGTTTCACATTTCTAGAAACCATACAGATATGGGATCTTTCTAGTTGGCAGAGAGCTTTATAATTGGCGTTCTAACTGCTAACATCCTTTCTGCCAACTTTCAAGAATCGCTCGATTTGCATGAGTCTTGCACTAATGAATCCATCATAACACACTGTACATAACATCAGATGAAGCTGATAATGTGAATAATGTTATTGTGTAATTCCCTTTCAGATCTTGTAACTGTGGAAAGTTAATTAGAGGTTCTGTAGCACAGACAGCTACAAAACACTACTTGTAAAGTGATGGGATGGGAGGAGGTTATACTATATGCAAGAAGCTCAAGAGATTTGCTTATATTTCTCCTAGGCTTCACCAACAATTAAAAGAGTCCCTGGAGAAGCAGCTGGAATCTCTCCCTACGGATGCTGCCCTGGCTAGCGAAACATTTACAGAACAAGAATTGATTAAAAACCTCCAGGACCAACTGCAACTTGCAAATCAAGTAAGCTGGAAACCTTTTGCATTATTTCCAAACCCCCTTCCCCATTAATTGAATCCACGGCCCTGATGCTATCACACCTATGAGTATTTTCCTATTTCCCACAAAGCCAAACCAGGATAAGCTTAAAAAAATCAAAGAAATAAAGCTTCTTTATTACTTTGGTAAGAGCTATTTTAGCTTTGCTGGCACAGCTTTCTTAAACTACACAGATGTACACTAACTCACGAAACATCTGTGACCTATTAAATTAGCTCTTCATATATGGTGTTAGAATAGAAATTCTATCTGGAGTACACAAGGTACAGCGAAATACTGCTCAGTCCCTTCAACCTCTGACAAAGCTTTCAGTGAAAATAATTGGAGCAACAGTGCCCCCTGCCTGAAGGCAATATCTTAGCAGGTAACTTACATCGTAATAGTTAAGAAAATCACTGCGATGTTCTCTTGTTGTGTCCCTTTTTATGGGTAATAACATAGTGCTTTAAAGTGGGCCCAGTAGAAGAATTCCTAGGAGACCTGGTTAGAAGCTTTTTGTACTAACGTTTTACGAAGGATGCAGTAAACTGATGTATTGCTTAAAAGTGAAAGAAAACTTAAACTGTGGTTTCATTTTTTAGGAAAAGGAATATGCCTTAGAGCTGTGGCAGATGGTTTCACAAGAAATGGATCGCCTGCAGCAGCTGTACCAGGAACACATGACTAATGCACGCTTACACGTGGCAGAGAGAGAGATGCAAAAGGTATCAGAGAAGAAATTACTTCAGCTAAATACTGACGATAAGAAAGACAAAACTTATATTAAAAAAAAAAAAAATGTACCCAGCGGGTTGTTTTACTAAAACTGGAGAGTGCGAAATCTGGTGCAGCTTCCAGTTTTTTTTTGTCAAAGATTAACTGAACAAGTTGAAGTAATGCAGGCCATAGACGGGGAGAAAAACGGCCGATTTTTCTTTAAAAAAATGAAAAAATCGGTCGTTCAAGCGGCCGACGTTACCAGCAATGCTAAAAAAAAATCGTCCGATTTTCATCCCGTCTACAGCCGGAAAAAAGTGTCCCTGCAGAGAGCTCCGCTATTTCTTTGACAGTTCTTTGACATTTACAGCGGTTGCAACAATGTATCTATTTGTATCCATTTAGGATACAGATGTTTTTATGCGGAAACAAATAGATACAATGTTGCAACCGCTGTAAATGTCAAGGAACTGTCAAAGAAATAGTAGAGCTCTCTGCAGGGAAATTTTTGCTGGACTGGAATTCCTCTTATTTTTCATCCTCTTCTTCTTCTTCCTCTAGTTCTTCCTCTTCTTCTTCTTCATCCTCTTCTTCTTCATCCTTTTCTTCCACCTCTTATTCTTCTTCTTCATCCTCTTCTTCTTCCTCTTCTTCATCCTCTTCTTCTTCATCATCATCCTCTTCTTCTTCTCCTTCATCATCATCCGCTTCTTCTTCTTCATCCTCTTCTTCATCCTCTTCTTCTCCTTCTTCATCATCATCCTCCTCTTCTTCATCCTCTTCTTCTTCATCATCCTCCTCTTCTTATTCTTCTTCATCCTCTTCTTCTTCTTCTTCATCATCGTCCTTCTCTTCTTCTTCCTCTTCCTCTTCTTCATCCTCTTCTTCTTCCTCTTCATCATCATCCTCTTCTTCATCCTCTTCTTCATCCTCTTTTTCTTCTTCCTCTTCTTCATCCTCTTCTTCTTCTTCTTCTTCTTCTTCATCCTCTTCTTCTTTTTCTTCTTTTTGTCTTCCTCTTGCAGGTCACTGCTCATGCGCAGATTTTTTTATCGGTAAAAAATCGGCCGATTTGCCCATCATTGCCGCGAAAATCGGGCAATCGGCAAAATCGGCCGATTTTTTTTCCAACTTTACCGATAAAAAAAATCTGCCAAAATACCGAAAAAAGGCCGAACAAATAGTCCACCGACGATCCGAAAATCGGCCGATTTTCGACCCATCTATGGCCCCCATTAGATGCTAATTGGTGACCATGCACAGCTGCACCCTATTTTGCACTCTCCAGTTTTAGTAAATCATCCCCCATGTGTATAAAAATTACCTTTTGACACCATAGCATACGCATTTATGAAACGGACAAACACATCTAGACTTCAGTATTTTCCTTCACTGGTAATAATAATAAGGAATACCATGAACATTTCCATCCCCACAGATCCACCTTTTTATAGAGTTATCTCATACAGTATTATTTTAACGTATTGCTCCTTAAGCATAGGCAGTGTTTTACGATTTTCTTCAATCTATAAGCAGTCACTTTTTTCTCTGCCAGAGAAAATTGCAAATTAACAAATGACCATACCAGGTATTATTGAAACAGGTTAAAGAAATGCACATGCCTATTGTATGATTTATGTTACAGTGGCAGTGTAGATATTCAAAGAGATGGTTAGTTCAATGGAAAATTACAGAAGCAGTTCAATATATCTATTTCCCTGACAAGATTAGTTTAAAAATAAAAGCATCAGTTTTCATGGTGAACAATCAGTTTGGCAGATTTCATGAGACAAGATTTTATCCTTCAAATGACTTCATGGTTGTTACCTAAAGATAGCACAATTGGGGCTTAGTTATAAAACTTTACTAAGCGTGACTGTATAATTTGGGCAGTACAGTGGCTAAATGGTTAGCACTTCCACCTGGCAGTACTAGGGTCATTGGTTTGAATCCCAACAGCGGCACCACTTGCCTGGAGTTTGCATGTTCTCCCTGTGCCTGCTTCCTGGTTTCCTCCGGGTACTCCGGTTTCCTCCCACACTCCAAAGACATGCTGGCAGGCTAACTGGATCCTTTCTAAAATTGGCCCTAGTATATGTATGTATGTATGAATGTGAGTTAGGGACCTTAGATTGTATACCCCTTGAAGGTTAGAGACTGATTTGAATGTACTATATATATGTAAAGCGCAGTGTAAACTGACAGAGCTATATAAGTACCTGCAAAAATTAATAAATAATTGGTGATATATGGGCAATAGTATTTTTAAATGCCCTTCTGTAGATAGCACTGTGTGAAGTATATCTAAAGCCAACATTTTTTTTTCTTATTGTTTTGGATTGAGTGGGAAAGGTTAGACCATTTGCCAGGTTTTTATTGCTATCTGTGGCTCTGCTGGGAAGATTCGCCCCTCTATTTGTCCTGGTGATCATTATTACCAAAACTGAAAGTGAGGGAGAATCTAATATATTTACTTTTCCCCTGATTTCCTATTTTGGTGACATCTTTTAATGGGGATACTTGGTTCTGTGAAAAAAAAAAAAACCCTTTTCCCTATTTTGCCGAGATTTCCTGACACTTCCTAAGGTGTTTTAGGGACAACTGTACCATAAATACAATTGTCCTTTTATCAATTTCCCCCTGAGTTCAGGTTCAAAGTTGATCAAGCAAACTTCAATGTGTGGCCTTGCTCGCTCAGTGAATATGTTCTCTTCATGCGCTGCAAGCAGCAACCCCATCCATTCTTATGGAGGCTATCATGAGTGTGAATTACTTATAGGAATGAATGGGGATGCAAAGAAGAAGACCTCCACTAGAAAGGCATTATCACAAGATTTTAGGGTGATAGGTTCTGGTCTAAATGTGTTTTTCCTACTGCAAGCAAAGTAGTTGACGAATCCCAGGTATGAATATTTTATACATAGTTAAGTTGGTCCAGCTTTGACCAGTGTAACTATATACATATCATACCTGGACAATACCCCTGGGATCTGGAAATCACTGAAGGAGATACTGCTACTCCATTGATCTCCACTTTTTTTGTGGGTCCCCGCTGAGCTGTCAGTCTGATGCATTATTAACACTAGAGATTGGTCACTTAGCACAAGTTCCAATCAGAGAATGCAAAGCACTCTCTGATTGGACAAGGGGGAAAGGGTGATTTTGCTGCTCTTCCTCTCCACCTTATCCAGAGAACACTTTGCATTAATTCAAATGTAAAGCTTTGTGCGAATGGTGCCCATGCTTAGCAGCCGATCTTCTGTAGTCGGTAGTTGGATATATATGGATTTCTTTGTGTGTGAGCACCAGGGCATTTATCTCAAACATAGAGTGCCGTGACTACCTTTGGAACTATTATATGTGTGTATGTCTAGATATATTATACTTCAGTGGCGCCACTACCAGGGTCGCAAAGTTTGCACTTGTGACTGGACCCTGGCGTTCCACCACAGTACGAGGAAAGGTCCTGCTGCCGCTGTAAATGGTCTCGGCATCAGTGACAACCCCACCGGTAATTGCCAAGTAGGATTACTGAGAACGGTGTACAGCACATTCAGCCTTTGAAGAGCCCCCTTCTGTCCCTGATCTACCGGACACAGTACCCTCCGACATCAGCTAGCTCCTCTCCCCCACTGCTCCTCCCCCAGAAACAAGCTTGAAGCTCTTCATGGTGAGCAGACTCTGCACCCTGTGCAGGGACCCCCTCCCCCCCCACCCCTTCATACCTGCACTTCATCCCATCCTTTGTCATCACTTGGGAACTTCAGTTGCTACATTGTGCCATGTTTGGGGTCACAGAACAAAGCGCCTCACTGCGCATGCATCACGTTGGAGGGTCCGTATTCTTCCGATATGTATATTCCTGCAATGGATTAATTGTAAACATGCTGACATGTGAGTATTTGCATCGGAATTGCATGCTATCCAGCATTATCAGCATTGGTGTTCCTGAGTTTTTCTGCATTGGTGATGTAGATACAACATTGCACTGTGACGATGTGGCCAGCAATAGCTTCATTGCAATTGCAACCTTTTGTCATGGAATGCAGCAAGGATTGAAACATCAAGTAATGAAGTGGATGGCCACACACTCCATAGAAGGCCAGTATTTTATTAATCCATGTCAAAAACAAAGTAAAAACATCATAGCACTAAGAGCATAGACTACAGTTGAGCAAGATGTAACCCATTTCACGAAAAACAGCGCTTATTCATAACATAAAGCATGACATGGATTAATAAAATATTGGTGTCCTATGGAGTGTGCAGCCATGCACTTTATTCTTTGGTGTTTCCGGTGGTGAGCCGGGCAAGCACCTCTGCAGTGGATGTGTTGCATGGATGTTGTGTGGTGTCTACTCTGTAGGGAGTGAAACATGTTTGTGTTGTGACTAGGGATGCAGATCTCAGGATTGGCTTTGATTTCCTTTATCCTTGTGAGAGTGTTGGGTTCTCCCGTCTGCCTGCGGGAAGTGATTGGTGGAGGTCAGCCCTGTGTGTGTGATGGGTGAAGGTGAGTCCTGTGTGTGCGATCGGTGGAGGTAAGCCTTGTGTGTGTGCGATCGGTGGAGATGAGTCCTGTGTATGTGATCGGTAGAGGTGAGCCCTGTGTGATCAGTGGAGGTGAATCCTGTGTGTGCATTCGATGGAGGTGAGTCCTGTTTGTGTTTGAGATCGGTGGAGGTGAGCCCTGTATGTGTTCAACCCGTGGAAGCAAGTCCTGTGTGTGTGTGATCGGTGGAGGCGAGTCCTGTGTGCATGATCGGTGGAGGTGAGTCTTTGTATGCGTGATCGGTGGAGGTTAGTCCTGTGTGCGTGATCGGTGGAGGTTAGTCCTGTGTGCGTGATCGGTGGAGGTGAGTCCTGTGTGCGTGATCGGTGGAGGTGAGTCCTGTGTGCGTGATCGGTGGAGGTGAGTCCTGTGTGCGTGATCGGTGGAGGTGAGTCCTGTGTGCGTGATCGGTGGAGGTGAGTCCTGTGTGCGTGATCGGTGGAGGCGAGTCCCGTG